CCTCTAAGCAAAGAAATCTTATATGAATTAAGCATTTCTCACTTACTTTAACACATTTCATCTATAAAAGAGTAGACTCATAAGTTAGAATTAAGATTAATTTCCTGTATAGAAAATTCCATTACAGCAATACGACTAGCCTCTTGAAATAAGAGGATACGCAAGATATTCGCGGACACGCGAGTCGCAGCACGTGCGCCAGCTTCTGAGTAGTTCACCGACCGCCGCTAGGCCGCGCATGGTGGCGGCCAAAAACTCGGAAGCAAAATTCAGTCTCGTAGGGTATAAAAGGAGGCCCGCGAGAGTGAATTTTGCTTCCGAGTTTTTTTGCCCTCACCATACTCGGCCTAGCGGCGGTTGGTGAATACTCAAAAGCTGGCGCCCGCGCGCGTGTCGCGTAGTGCCGGATCGCACGTTGCAACCGCCACAAAAAGATTCCTCTAGCTGCTAGCATATAAGAGGATATTCGTTTTAAAAGAAATATATAAATACTAAAAATAAGAATATTTGCATATTACAAGAAGAAGATTCCTCTAGCATTAAGAGGATTACGAGTTAAAATTTCATGCCTCAGTGTAATAGGGTATTCCTCTACATTTTAGAGTATCTTCTTGAGACCGTATTTCATAGGGAAATCCTCTAAAATCAAGAGGGAACAATTAAAAATAGAATACTTTTCTTTGGATGTCGAGTGGATATTGTTGGGATCGATTTTATTGTATGTAATTACGTCTTTAGGATGTCCTTAGGATGTCCGGGTTTGGATCGCGTATAGAGATCTTATAAGCGGACATAGGGACGTCCTCAGTATATCCTTAGTATGTTCTACCGATTTTCACGGATATACCCGGGATGTTAGAAAATCCCTTTAGATATATCCGGTGGACATACTTGGGATCAACTTTTGCTGTGTGGGTTCATAGAACATTCAGAATATGCCATAGACACTCAGGGAACATTTAATGCGAATATTCCCTGGGCATTCTGTGTGAATGTTCATAGAATATGAAGAACATTCTAGAAACATTCACGGCACATCCATGCGAATATTCCTGAGAGAGAACATTCGAATCATATACAAACATTCATGGAACATTCGGTGCTATCTGGGTTGCGTCATTTAAAATAATTTTGTGCATAGTAATAAATACTATGAAATATTTTCTGTTGTTTCTCAAGACCAAATAAATTTTATAACCTAGAAAACATTATTAATATAAAGGATTTTGCAATGCGAAGAAAATTTGCAACCCCAATCCAATATTCTAAATATTGAATGTAGAAAATACATATATTTTACATTTAATATATTATTAATTTACTGAATATTAATATATTTAACAAATTGTATGTTAACATAAGGTATTTGATGATTTGTAATGTTGTATTGTTATAAATATATAATGTTAGAAATATGTATTACCGGTCATTTTATTTAACAATGTAAATTTTTATTAAAATACAAAAATTTATATACAGTGTTTCATTATTTTTATTGATTTTTATTGGCCTTTTTGAACAATATTAACTTAGTAAACTTATGTCTATCACTTATTTCTACATTTTGTACATAATGTGTTAATGTGTATTCTTAGGTACCTGTATCTAAATGTTGCAGAATATCACTTTCCTCTGCTGTTAATAGATTCCGTTTCTCCAAATCCTTTAACACATTCTTTAGTGTGCATAGTTTCTTTTGTGTTTTCTTGTGTTCATAGCGACTTATAGATAGCCTTCTTTTTATAGTTTTAATTTTAGTTCTATATACTTCTCGAATTCCAGTTTTAATTGGCGAATTTATAATTCTTTCAGGAGATATACTAGTGGAACGGTGCACCATTCGAGTGTTATATGAACATGTGTCCATTGTATTGTTGTCCTTAGTATTTTCAATATTTAGTTGTATATCTTCATTATTTTTGTCTATCATGATATATAATATTTTTATTATCCTATTATATTATTTATTTACTAACTATAAGTAGATATATTTATTTGTACCAACCAGGTTCAATATTTATTTTTTTTTCAACAGAAGTGATATCTTGGTATTGTGAATCAATCTGCTTTACAGATTGGATTTCCGTTTTCAGTAACTGAAAAAGAAATTTGTTATCACAATTATTATATTTAATAATTAGAAAATATTTTTATAATATCTGTATATATACGTACATGTGGAACAGCATCTTTTTTTAACTTGCGATTTGCATGATTTATCTCATAGTCTGTATCTTTAAAATGACTGGAACAAACTGCAGCTGACTTTTTAGGTTCATAATTTTCTAACTGTAAGGCTTTAAGCCATTTCTGTCGTCTTTCTATATCTTTAGGAAATCTAAAACAATATACATATATATGTACATATAAATACATATATACAATACATATAATTATTATATTCAATATTATAAATTTCTAATTTTAACATAACATATATTTACAATATGTTGCTTACAAATGATATGAAATTTTCCGATGTAGAATTTTTTCCATCTCTATTTGTTCTGCATTTTTCTTAGTGTGTCGATTTTTGCACTTGTAAACAACACAAAAGCTCATTTTTGCACTTTTATATTTCCTGTTGAGTAACAACACAATTGTACATAAAAGTTTAACAGGTTAGGTGTCTTCGATACAATGGAAATATGAACCGAATATTACCGAATCTCACCGGAAAGAGTCGATGTCAGGGGTGCTTTCGCGACGTAGATCAAAATGATCCGGATCAAAATGATCTGTGCTATGATTGGTCAAATCTGGAATTTCATTGAATAAAATTTCAATGTGATGCTACGAAATTTCAGATTTGACCAATCATAGCACGGATCATTTTGATCCGGATCATTTTGATCTACGTCGCGAAA